ATTTTGCATGGAGATAAGATGTGGGCCAGAATAGAAGCCTACTCTTTTTGGAGATGATTGCCATATATTTAGGGGTTGAAATGGACCAAAAAACTGCAAAATTGTCTGCAGGTCGTAATTTTCGCCCGATCCTCACGCACATTTGAATGGGAGTTACCGGACATTACAAAAGCCAAGCAGTTTTGGTTGGCCATCCAAAAATATTCAATGTGTGAAATAGTTTGGCAACTTTTGTAGACAAAATACGAAAATGTCCATTCCAGTGACTTTTTGGAGAATTCACAAATACAGGAAAGACGCACTTCTGACTATTTCGTTAACGCTGATTTCGTTCAGTCAAAAACCAATAATAAATATTAATCTTTTGCCACTTCTGAGAGATTAAAGGTCTTTGGGAAATATTGGTTCCAGATCTAGGAAGACCATTTACGTGCAACATCTACCAATAAATTGGAAATAAGCAAATTAGTTAAAGTTGCTATTATTCCAAAATTAGAGAACGAAACCTGATGGTTTTCTTTTATTATTTGTCACAATATCTTGCGGAATACTTTGAAGTATCTGGCCTATATAAACTGTATCATTTATTATAGTGTTGTAGGGTATTCAACGGTCGGCCCCGCTCGACTGTAGCCATTGCTTACTTGTTTTGATTTAAGGTAATATTTTCAATAACAATTACTATAAGCCAAAAAATAAACGTAAATTCGTTTTATGTCAAATTATAACTAAAAAATATAATTATGTATAATTATTTTATTACAGAGTAGTAGTTTTCAAAACGAAACTGACAGCATTGCAACATTTGCTGAACGCTACCAATATCATGAATTCATCCCGGAGACGTGTGTGGGCACTTTTGTAGGCTATTGATACGACGACTCTGGTAAAAAAACAAGCACTTTAAGTGCCTAACATTTTTCAGTAAATCATTTCTCGCCTTTGCAAAAATCAGTACCCTTTGGGAGGAAAGTTTTTAAAAAAGTGTTAAAATAGTAAAACAACAAATTGCACATGATTTACACATGCAACAACGATATGTGTAATTACACATGATGTGGAAACACCGAATCTTACTAACAACAAATTTCTGTTGCAAACAGTCAGTAGCAAGGTAGATACTAGGTAGTCGCATCACCCCAGCTGACGGCGCCTTTAAATGTCAAAACAAGTTGTTGTAATGCTGAATTCGCCCTAAATGAATGCAACACAAAAACAAAGTTTGTTTATGACGCGTTCTTATATCTTTCCTTTATAGTCCTTTTTTGTTATCCCTTACTTTAGGAAAAGTGAAGGATGTGAACTTTATCGGCTTCTCATTATTACATCTTTCCTTAGAATATATGATTTTTTTACAGAGATATGGCAAGCTTTTTGTTAAAGTAACTGGTAGTCACTACATTTTTTCACAATGGCATCTTCATTTTAGTTTAAAAATGTAAAAAAGCGAATTTGTAATTAATTTCGTGAAATAAAATTTGTAATTCAGTTCTTCAATATAAAATAAACTATTTGCGTTACCCATTTTTTTATTAAAATAAATGTTGCTGTTATTGCCATATTATCAATATAAAATATGGCAATATCAATACAGTAAACTTTACGATAAAGATAAAGGGAAGATGGTCTGACTTTTTGCTTATCAGACAGTTCATACTTAAATGAAACTTGTAATAACGAAAAACCATTTATGTTTCCGACAACATCACTTTTTTATTTATCGGCAAGATGTAATAACCAGCCTATGTCTTCTTCACTAAAAGTATTTTTTTTTTTTGATATTTCAAAATGTAAGAGCAATTTTAGAGTGAATTGCCAGTATAAAATTAAAAAGAAAATGAAAAAGTGTTCCGGCGGGTGAATTCATGCCATGTGGTGCAATTTTATTCAAATCCTAGGTGTTGAGATTATGTTCAGCATTGGCCTTGAAATGTAATTTATCGTGAACATTTCCAGGTGGCCCAGATGAACTGGCGGCTGATTTGTATGGGTCCATGCTAGCCCTTTACGACCTGTCTCTGTTGTATAGCCATTTTACTTTGCTGCTCCAGCTTTTCACGAGAGTTATGACTCGGTCTTATCCAAACTTCCAGTAGCGCAAGTTATTCCGGCCTTCTGTGGTCTATGAAAACTCTTTGTATGGGTTGGGAATTTGTATCGTTTTACGTTTACTGGCGTTTACTGGTGGCGATATTGGTGCTATATATATATATTTGTGATATGTATATATATATATATATATATAGCACCAATATCGCCACCACATATATATATATATATATATATATATATATATATATATATATATATATATATATATATATATATATATATATATATATATATACATATCACAAATCTGGCAGACATAAGTGGCACAACTTTTAGTATAAATGATGAATCGATGAAATATAAATAAATACGTCTATCGAAAAATACTAAAAACCTAAATAATGTAGCATATATATAAAAAAGTATACAGTATATGTTTAAAACTCTCGAAATGTGTTAAATCAGGAGGTACTTTTATATGAGCGCTACTCCGAAACATTGATTCGAATATATAATCAAATACCTCGAAATAGGTAAAATCAGGTAGTACTTTTATATGAGCGCTACTCCGAAACATTGACATTAAAAAGAACATTGCGAAGAGGTCTTCTACCAGAAGCTACATGCCAAATAAAGGCAAAATCAATTGAAAAATGTGACCAAGACCCTGGCAATAGCTGAAATCACCGGATACCTTCATATCAAAGTTATACCAAACATGGTCCTATACTTATAATTATTTGAAAGAATTTGTTTCTCTTTCTAAAATCTCAAATTACCAACATTTGGGAAATTTGAAAGGGGCTATATCACAATGTAGACCAACCTGATACATATTTTGTACAAATGATTCCTCATGTAACCCTTAGAACTGTATCAAAACTAAAACTCCATCGTATATTTTGCGGAGTTTAGGGCAAAATATTTGCCTTTGTGTTTGGTTAAGCTATATAAAATGGACTCTATAATGTTAGATCCGGAAACCCCTCTTTTGGGATTTTTATTTACCAACCGAAAAATTTCCTAACCCCAAGATTATCTTCGGCGCAGTGCAATTACTGACGATAGCGCATAGTCCCGTATAATGTTGCCTATGTTTTAAGGTTACTTTTAAGGGTTCGGAAGAATTTTCCGAGTAAATGAATCCCTTTCTTAGAATATTTCCAATTCACTTCACTATTTTGTATAGTCCGCATATTTCAGTGCCTCTTCATATTCGGTATTTTACTGATTAAAGTCCCAATGAATTTTGCATTTTGAGTTTTCGTTGGAGGGATTATTTCCATATCTAATCAAAATTGAAAATTTGGGTATGGCAACCATATGACAGCATGTATAGAAAATATGCAAACTCTCGATTTTTTCGGGTTTTTTTAATAAGAATTTTCGATTCCAAAGGCATTCTGAAACAATTCTACACAAAATTCTATATCATGATTGAACAGTCAATGTTTTCAGTTCCGCGATTTTTCTCAAAATTTACTTTTAACGTTTCCGCTGTAATTACAAAAAAACCAAAAGAAAATTTGAGTCAAATTGGCCCAGCCGTTCTCAATTGATGTGTTACTATACTTTTTCAAATTTTTTACATATAAATTTAAAGAGGGTGGTGTGGCCAGTTCCTCTGACCCCAAGCAGATACCTAGGGTTGGAGGGAGAGAGTCAAGATTACGTCGGCAAATATTAGGATTTTAGATAAATCGAAAAAGTGGGCGCAAAATTTGGCTTGGTCACTTTTTCTTTGCATAAAAACCTAAATCGGGGTAGGACGAACATTCAAAAAAAAATATCCAAATGGTTGCAGCCGGTCTCAACTGATTCAATTACCAACGAACAACAATTAGTTTATATATAGATTAAAAAGTAGGCGTGGTCAGTTCCTCAGCCCCCATATAAATATTTAAGATTGGACGTAAAGTCAACAGTATGTCGTGTAATAATTTTAAAACCAATATCTTCATTATTTGGCCGCAAAATATATATGAAAGCTATATCCCGAATTGAGTATAATTTGACAATTTTTTTGGTACCAAATTTAGTTGCTCTAGCTATGGGATATGGGAGCTATATTCAAATTTGAACCGATTTCAATATAATTTGAAAAATTTATTGTTGTACCAAATTCCGCCCACATTCTAAATTTCATTGAAATCGGACTTTCGTATCGTGTTTGGTGCATCAAATAAACGAAATCGGTCGAAAGTATATATGAGAGCTATACCCAAATCTGAACCGATTTCAAAGTAATTTGGTAAATTAATTATTGTGCAAATTTCATTGGAAACGGAAATACGCATCGTGTTTGGTACATCAAATACATGAAATCGGACAAAAAAAATATATTTATATATATGTATATATATATATATATATATATATATACATATATATATATATATATATATATATATATATATATATATATATATATATATATATATATATATATATATATATATATATATATATATATATATATATATATATAAATTTAAAGTTTATGAAAATTATATTTGACATCGTCCTCTTATCCCAAGAGAATCACATTTTTAGTTTCGGGTTTCTCAGCATCATACAATACATAAAAGTCGTTTTTTGACCGGCTTAAGTCATCGAGCCAAAATCGAACTAAGTCAACCTAAAATGCCTTTGTTCCTTTACCAAGAACCCAGCCGATGACTTAAGCCAGTAAAAACGCTTTTTATGTATTCTCACCTTTAGTTTCGAGAAAAGTGCATTCAAAGTCGGCCCCGCCCGACCTTTTCACTTTTTTTTACTGGTTTTTGTGTGTTTCATTACCGGTATTAATTTTAAATAGGTGCTGAATTGTAAATCTACTACTTTCGGTTATCGTACTAAAACCTTTTAGATTCTTGCAGTTCTGGAACAGACCAAATATTATTTCCAAAAAATAATAAAAACAACGAATGTTGTTAAAAGTTAAAAAATAGAGGACATGAGTATTATGACTCAATTAAATTTTTATTATCAGTTTAAATGTTCACAAATTATATTAGATAAAAACTTAGAAATTTGGCACATATATTTTAAGTGGGAAGAGATATACGCTATATTTTCTTAATTGCATTTGATATTAATCGTTTTGCTACTGCTGGCGTTCTGTTGATTATATATGCTTCCCTTAGCTAAAGTAGCTTTCGGACCTTTGCACAAATCTGGATTTGGCCCATACGGCTTATAAAGCGGCTCACTTCGTAATGATATATCTGGTCCAGTGGCTAAATTACCTTGTCCTTTGTAAAATTCTGGATTTGCACCATTCCATGTTACATAGTCGGCTCTGAAAAAAAAAGAATTTTAAAACCGATACTACTATCGTTTTTTATTTTAAAAATTTATAGAGAACAATTGCGAATTAATTTCAGTCTTATGATATTTCCAATTGTTTCATGAACACCTATTCAAAATACAGTTTTGAGGATATTATCTCTTGTTGACGATTTTTTCGAGGAAATACAGCAAAAATGCTAAAATTGTTAGTTTTTCATTACAAAGTAGTTAATTGTATATTAATTATGTGGATTCTTCCACGTAGTTTTTATCGGCTTCGAACCTAAATACTCAATTATAGAGTTGAAACAATGATAATTACATGCGGGCGGGCTATTCTTAATCCTGGATGTCATTCAGTTTAAAAATGTGACTTGGACATTGATATACCTGCACTTAATTGTGTATAAAAACGAAAGTTGTTCATGCATTTCTATGGTCTGTAGACTTTTTTTCTCATTAATTTTACAATTTTTATGTTTTGAACTTTTTGTTTAAATGTTGACATTGTAGACATATACATTGTAGATATATTTTGTATTATTTTTGGAGTTAAATTTATATTATTTAACAAAATTATATTTATGCGACTAGCAAAAAATTTATATGACATTCATTTTTTAATTCCCAAGCGTTTTTACCTTCCATCCATAACCTTGTTTATATTGATACAATGGCATGTTTACATTACACTTTTTTCAGGTTAATCTCCTTAATGAGGATACACTTCAATTAGGTCTAATGAAATTGACATCTTATAGCAACTGGTTTTCCTAAATACTAACCTCGTAAATGCACTAAATCGTGTCGAATAAAAAACAATAAAAAAAACTAATCCGGCACGAACACGTCGTTTTTCGAGAAGACACGAACACACACTAATCGTGAGCAACATCCGACAGATGTGGGTGTTTTCTCATCTGTAGCAAGATACAAAACTACAAGCATCCAGCCTTCGGGCAAATGTAGGAAGGATGTGAAGCCATCAGAAACAGGTAGCAACTGTAGCTCAGATTTTGAATCAACTGCAAAAAAAAAATAGCGTTGTTTAAATCCCCGCTAAGGAGTTGGTCGATAAAATGGTAGACGAGGTGAGCAAAAGTATTGCAAAGTTCATCACAAACAATAAGAGGTTATCCCGGGGACAGAGGTTTAAGTTCAGGAAGACATAACAAAGGTTGCTCAACTTCAAAGAAACTACAAAAATGTAACTTTGTGCTAGAGTCTTATAGTGTCAAATAGACTTTTAAATATGCAACATTTGGCTTTTTTATTTTTATTTTTTTAACAAAATTATTATATTGGGAAAAAGCCGCGAAACAAGAATGGAATTTCGGGGTTATTCCACAAGATGGAATCATGGCACAATTACAGAAGGTAGAACAAAGCTACACCTCTAATACAATTTTTTTCTTGTGCCCTTATTCTGTCAAAACACACACATGTGTGTATATCTGTGTATTGTTTTGAATAAAAAAAACAATAATTTGAAATTATTTCAAATTTGGTTGCAAAATAAATGCATACTTTCGGTGTTAATAGGCAACACATTGTACAATATTGGGATAAAACTGTATTTTCCTACTATTTTACATTCTATTTTGTAGAATAACCCCAAAATAAACAAAACCAACAGCACAGAGTAGCATTTTTCTTCTTTCTTTGAAGTTGAGCAATCTTTCTTATTGAGCCATGGATGGAATCCTGTTAGAAGAATATAGGTAGTTGCTTCAAAGCTTGAGAATATTGATGTCAAATTTTTTTTTAATGTTTTATCAAAAATAAGTCGATTTTTAAATGCCTTTTTATAGGAGGTTGTTATAATATGCATTTTTCAACAATTTTTACAAATTTCAATAATTATTAATTCAACATTTTCAATTCCAAAATCAGTTTGACAGTTCATTGTCCCAGCAGCTGTGTCGATGCGACTACCAGTATTCTTCTACCAAGGAATTGAAAATAGTAGGACAATACAGTTTTATCACATAATTGTAAAATTTTTTATTCATTTGCGTCGAAAATTTGCATTTATTTTGCAACCAGTTTTGAAATAATTTCAAATATTGTATTTTTTATTCAAAACAATACACACACATACACAAAATGTATACATATATGTTCTGACAGAATAAGGGCACCAAAAGAAAAAAATTGTAAGGAGCTAAAAACAAGGAATAACAAAAGACGCCGCAACAATAAGATGACGATCGTGGCTGTAGACTCGGACGCAAAATCTGTAGTTCCGTTAAATGAGGCTCAGCGAAAGCAGAAAAGACATGCGGAACATGTAAATGATTTGTTTGCAGTCAAATGTTGAAGTCTTCGGGAAGCGGGTTGAAAGTAAATCACACTCATGGAAAGGAGGATTTTTCTCGCCTTAGTAAGGAACCCGTTTTCATCGGACTCGAAGTCTTTGACCTGTAGAACAAGACTTGGGACGTTATGGGGTGGGAGGAGCGCGTGGATCGTACTCTCTTTGTGGTGGGCCTAGACGACCTCTAAATATCCTGTCAGGCCAAGGCGAATGACATGGCGTAATAATTCTCGAAGGTAGGAGAGGATCGGCCAACATAGCCTAAAAATGTTGAGAGAGGGAGTATCAAAGCAATAATGCGAATGCGAAGCAAAAGAGATCAGCGACTCCCTATAAGCCCGCTCACTGGGGGACCAATGATCAGGGTCATCCAGATCAATCAATCTAATTAAAGGTGTGATACATATTGCATTATTTCAAGAACCTTGGACTGTACACAATAAGGTCTAAACAATATAAACTAAAATATATATATATATAAGAGGGAACGGGGCTAGTCTTCTTTTTGTAAGACATGGAGACTGGAATCTCTCTTCGCCCACCGAACCACAATACGGCTCTCGAGGGGGAAATCCAAACAATCACAAAGGCTCTGAACTGGTTTAGTAGTAACACCAGACCAACTACCATAAATACTCTAACGGATAGTAAATTTGCCATCAGGGCAATAAAACCAATACAGTTATGTCGAGAACTGCTTTACGATGATCAACAACTATTTTCAACAAGGATCAGAGTAAGGAACGGGCATTCTGAATGGCGAAAATATGTCACAAGTTTAAGTAACACAAATTGTGACCGAAACAGAAACCGTTATATGGGTGTTTCACCAAAAAGTGGATTTAGAACCAAAAATGCCAGACTACAGTGGACCAAAATAAACTGAAAAATTACAGCTTAATTGGTTGAAAACATTAAAAATAAACATGACTCAAAAAGAAAGGTTGCACACTTTAAGGAAACTAGGAAAATGCAATTTTCGTTCGTTTCTCGGCTATCTCGGCAATTCGTTTATCGGCTATTCTTAAACGCAAACTGATGTAGCCATTGTCTGTACCAAACAAACTATATAAATATAATGCTCGTGTAATGTTCTATCTTTTATTGCGTGTATTTTATCGTGATTTCGACAGACAGACATGGCTATATGGATCACGAATAAGTGCCCATAAGTGGGCATAAAAAATGTAAAAATAATGAGTTTTGCGGTTGGGTATACTGACATACTAACATCTTTATTCTGTAAAAGAGTAGGGTAAGTGTACCAGTAGTCGGCACTTTTAGGATTTTCGCGTTTTTAATCGCTCACCATTCTGAGTGGAACATTTCAATTATTACAAAGTTAATTTATTCAAATTCGAAATTTTGTATAGTTTTTGCAATAATAAATAAAGTTTTAATAACTTTTTATTAAATTTCATAAATTTGTAGTTTTATTAAAACAATGCTTTTTTGCCAGTAGTCGCACCACTTGCCAATTGTCGGTATGGCATTTTCCAACAATCGGCATACCAATTTTTTTGTAAGAATAATTAATAATAATAAAAAATTAATTCATTAACAACATAACATTTTTGTTTAGTTAAACTGATTCGACGTCTTTATTGTACTTTTCTTAAGAATATGAATTGTTGAGGACCTTCACAGACAAAAATTTAATTTTTATTAGAATAATTCATCTTTTCTTAGCAAAATTGTGCACAAAGATAGCTGACAATATATTTGAAGTAAATACATACATTTAGTTATAATAGTTTCATTTATTTGGGCTTGAAAATAAAAAGTGCCGACTACTGGGACATGCCGAACTTAGGTACACTTACCCTATACTTTTTATCAATTAAAAAAGTAAAGAGAAGTGGGAAAGGGCATTTGATTACTAATTTATGTATATACATTTTTGGTATCATTAATATTATACCTATATATTTCATCTTTATAATAGATCTAATGTTTGTAGAAAGAAATGGTTAATTTTTGGCCGCCCTCCTTGGAAATGGTTTCGATATGCATTCTGCGTACTTTCCTGCAATGCAGAGAAGCTTTGAAAAGTACTGAGAAGTAGCTTTACAACTAAAAAGACTTAAGCACAGGTGTTAAAAAAGTATGTAACAACCATTTATAAATTGTGCGTTAGAGTCCCCATAAAGGCTTTTTTATCATAGAAAAATTTAGTGACAATTAAACAGTAACAGTGTGTGTGTATGCCAATCTTTTAAAATCACTATAGATCGGTGAACCTGGGTGATACGGTTTTAAGAGACTATACAAATATATATACCTACACTTTAATACACATTTTTAGCCAAATCGTTTTGAAAATGTTGTCAAGTTCCTCGAAATAGGTTAAATTAGGAGGTACCTTTATATAGGCGCTACTCCAAAACATTGACCTACATTGCGAAGAGGTTTTCTGTCCCCTTAGAAGCCAAGATGCTAAATATGAATCAATTGAAAAATATGGCCAAGGCCCCGGAAAGCAAAAGTCAGGGGATAACTTCATAGATTTTGAAGCCCTTTGAGTACGGTTAAAGTTATATAGTGGACCCTAAAAAATTTTAGCCTTGTAAACCAAAACCCTTTTTGGAATTTTGATCTACTAACCGAATACTATCCACTTAGACTTTTCCAGCCCCCGGGTTGGCTGTTGCGCAATGTCGTTACTCGCTATTGCATAAAACTGTACCTGTGAT